TCCATGTTCCCAAAGTCCCCTCCCCCCCGCCCCAGGGTCTCCTCGGTCCCCCTCGTTGTCCTCAAACTCCCTCCTGTTGTCACCAGGGGTTCCGTCGGTCCCCCCAAAGTCCCCCCAGGGTCCTCTGCTCCCTCTCAGTGTCCTCTGGTGTCCCCAAAGTCCCCCTGGTGTCCCCTCAGTTCCTGCAATCCCCCCCAAGGTCCCTCCCCCAGCATCTGCTGGGGTCCCCCCCACTGTCCCCAAAGTCCACCCCAGGGTCTCCTTGGTCGCCCCAAGGGTCCCCTGATGTCCCCAAAGTCCCTCCTGATGTCACCCCAATGTCCCCAAAGTGTCCCCAGGCGCTCCTATGCTGCTCCATCCCCCTCCGCGTCCCCAAAGTCCCCCCCGGGGTCTGCCCGGTCCCCCCGATGTTCTCAAAGTCTCTCCTGTTGTCACTTGGGGTTTCCAAAAGTCCCCCAAAGTTCCTCTCAGTGTCCCTTGGTGTCCCCAAAGTCCCCCTGAGGTCCCATCAGTCCCCGCAATCCCCACCAAGGTCCCTCCCCCAGCATCTCCTGGGGTCCTTCCCGCTGTCCCCAAAGTCCCCCCCAGGGTCTCCTTGGTCGCCCCAAGGGTCCCCTGATGTCCCCAAAGTCCCTCCTGATGTCACCCCAATGTCCCCAAAGTGTCCCCAGGCGCTCCTCCTGGTCCTGCTCCATCCCACTCCGCGTCTCTAAAGTCTCCCCCGGGGTCTGCCCGGTCCCCACGGATGTCCTCAAAGTCCCTGCTGTTGTCACCTGGGGTTTCCCCAGTACCCCCAGGTTCCCCCGGTCCCTCCCAGTGTCCCCTGGGGTCCCCAAAGTCCCCCTGGTGTCCCCTCTGGGGTCTCCCTCGTCTCTCCTGATGTCCTCAAAGTCCCTTCTGTTATCACCTGGGGTCTTTCCGGTCCTCCCAAAGTCCCCCCAGGGTTCCCTGATCCTTCTCAGTATCCCCTGGTGTCCCCAAAGTCCCCCCTGGTTCCACCCCGGGTCCTCCAGCCTGGGAGCAGACCGACTCAGGGGAATGTTTTGACATCCCCCTGGGGATTTTGGGTTCCCTGCCACGGATTTCAGCCGTCTCAGGAATTTTGGGCTCCCCTGAGGGGATTTTAGGGCCCGCTGGGCATTTTGGAGTCCCCCAAGGGCACTTTGGGGTCCCTTCAGCGGGTTTTCGGGTGCCCGGCAGGCACTGCAACATGGTGCTGGAGAACGTCAAGGAGATGTGGACCGAGGTGCCCAAGAGCGGCAAAGGCAAGAAGAAATCGAAGCCCGTCAACAAGGACCGCTACATCTCCAAGATGTTCCTGCGCGGCGACTCCGTCATCGTCGTGCTGCGCAACCCCCTCATCGCCGGCAAATAGGCACCCCCAAGACCCCCCCCAAAAGCCCTAAAACCT